CCCCCCCTTTCCAAACTTACTCCTGCACAGTTCAGAGAGGGTTTGAAATCACCAAGAGAACCAATATTCTGTTTATATAAGGCAGGAAAAAGCAGCCTGGAAGCTCTCACTGAGTCGTTACAGGGTGATAGGGACCGTTCACACCTTCACTGCTGCTCTTGGGTGTCAGTTTAAAAAGAAGAGGCTGAGCCCAACTGAAAACTCAAGTTTCAGACACAAGATACACACACAGCCAAGATGTGTAACATTCAAAGAGTGAATTTCCTGCACACCCAATCGCGCAATTTAAAGCAGAGTATGTTTGAGCCACCTCTGGAACATTCTCTGTATTTCACGATGAAGCCACGCTCGAAGCAAAACTCTCACTAGAAATAACACTTTGCAGAGTATCTGTTAAAGACCGTTCAAGAGAGCTCTGGGTTGAAAAGCACACAACAAAACCCTCCTCCTGCTCTGTTTAGCTCTGTCCTAGGCACGCCTGAAGCTTCCTCACTCCACGCTGGGAAAGGCTTAAGCAGCTCTGTCCTCCTCAGGAAGCTTTGCTGGACACAACTTTTGGGTTAAATGTTGTAACATTAACCCAGTCACATGTCCAAGCACGGGCAGCTCCACGGGGAAGTTCAGAGTCCACTCCAGAGCTCCTGAATGACATCAACCCCCACGTCAACCTGCTGAAGCAACTCGAGTCAAAGAGTCATTTCTTTTATAGGACTGAAGTTCAACGTGACCAAAACTTTAAAATTAAACTCCTGCCCAAACCAGACAGGGCAGCCTGTGGATTAAAACCAAACAGGAGGTTTAGAAGTTCTATGATTCCACCATTTCCTTCACGTTCCTGCAGCACAACCGTGGGTGTTCCACTCCCCCTTGAATATGTGGAGGCTGTATAAACAGGAAAGTGAATGAGGAAGCAGAGAAAACAGTTTTGCTGGAGTCCTCCTTTCTCCAGCTCACTCAACCAGCAGGGAATGGCCCAGCCCGCAGCTCTGCCCGGGCTGGAGGGGAGGGAGCTCTAAAGCCTTCCTTTGTCTGGCTGCTCATGCCACCTCTATCTTCCGCTTCATCTGCAAAGCAACAGCCAGGGCTGAACTGTGACCTTTTACCAGAGCTCTGGTAACTCTTCAGAACGAGTGTGTGAGCTTTTGTGGCCAGACAACCTTACAAAGAAGGCCTTCCTTCTGCTTCTGTGTGTTTAAAAGCACAACAGGTTATCAAATGCTTGGACTGATCACAGTAATGGGGTAACTGAGCAAAATCTTGCCATTTACATCCACGACATCCTTCCACACCCTGAAGATGTCCAAGGCTGCTGGATAAGTTGCTTATACTTGGCACCAACAGCAGTGAATCCCGTTAGATCCTTGTTTTCCTGGCAGCTATTTCCAGGTCAAGTCTGCCCTTTGCCACTGAAGCTGCTTTTATACCACCCATCCTCCCTCCTATTTTTACTTTCTGTGAAGAATAAGAAGCTAAGACACAGTTAAGCAGTGGGGCTCCATTTCCCTCTTGTTCTCTTCCACATTCCTTCTATCCAAACCACTTTTGTAACTTATTTGGTACTTCAGGGTAGGTGGCATTACAGAAAGTCCCATTTATTTTTATAGGCAGCACAGTGCAGTTTACAGCCCACCCACCCCTGGCAACACGAGCGTGTTTAGATGTTGACTAAAAAAGTGATTGAATCACTGCTAAAAGAAAAATACCAGGAGGAATCCACCCGCAGAACTCCCACAAAGTGTTGTGGTTCCCACTGGTGACTTGTTGGATGTGGTTGGGACAAAGGACAGCAGTTGGTCCCAGTCATCCATTCCCACAGAAAGGGAATCATCCCCAGGGTTTGTGCTGCACACTCCTGTCCCTGCAGTGTCACACACAGACGCTGCCACAGCAGAAACTGCACCGACAGCCCAGAGCTGCTTCCCAGGACTTCACTGCCTGTTAATGCAGCTCAGCTGAGGGATCACGGGATCCCACTGCACTCCAGGGTTAAACTTTAACTCTCATTTCACCCCACTGCTTGGACAGTCTCAAAATACCAGGAAATTTAAGACTCTCTTAAATTAACAACAACAAGAAAAAAATCCTGTCATTTTCCAGGCATCTCCAACCTTTGCAGCCTACATCACAACTCACCAATATCCCAAACTGAAGCTGAACTTCCTCTTTCTCTCCACCCAAATGTTGTCTGTAGTTGCTACCCTGATCGTTTTTGGAGTAAAATTCCTGAAAACATAAAAGACTACGGCTCGTGAGCTGCTCGTAGTCCTTGAGCACATCCTCAAAAGAGGGATCCATCAGGCTAAGCGGGGAGATTTGAGTATGAAAGGGAACATTTAAATAAACAACACAAGAGTGTTTTCCCTCGGCACGACTTCATCTCCTGGGAAACGGCGGCTCAGCGCCCCTCACCAAAGGCAGATCCCCCCAAATCGGAGCTGCCCGGGTGATCTGTTCCTCCCCGAAGCGCTGGAACACGCTGCACTCCGGCCCAGCAGCAGCGAAAACCTGTCGGGCAGGTTGGGCTCAGATACAATTCACCATCGGGAAAGGGCAGGCCAGGCGGCCAGTGGATAAGTTACAGTTTCACTTCAGGAAACAAGGTATTTTCAGCCTGTTTTCTAGTAAGTGATACATTTAGATAAGCAATTAGGAGAACAGGCAGCCCTTTGCAGAGAGGCTCGGTGTAATGAGTTAAAAATGAATGAGCGTCTGCAACCAGCAGAGGCCTGGTGGTTGTTAAACTGATACGGCCCAGGAGGAGAAGCAGAATTTGCTTTTATTAATTGCAAGCGGTTAGAACAAGAGCTCTGAGGAATAACTCAGGGCCAAAGAGCATTAAACACTTAATCATCCGCAGCATTTTGTAGTTAAACGTCTGTTAATGCATTTTAAAGTCACCTCGTTCAGGCTGCTTATGGTGAGGGGTCAAATCTTGCTGATTGACCTCCAAAGGTTTTGGGTGAGCCCAGGGGAGTGCGACCAGAAGGGTTAGGAAGGTCATCGAAGAGAGTTGGACACACCTTGAAACTGCCACAAAACCTTCATTTTATACCTCTGGAGAGGTGCTTTTCACGGACAGCTTCAACTTCCTCGAGGCAGGAGTGGTGGCAAATGCCACGATTTCATTGGGGTTTAGTTCTGACTCCCTGGGACCTTCCTATCATGTTTGAAATGCCCATTTCAAGGAGACAGAAACACGGTGCCACACGGGGCCACGCAGTTTGAATCAGACAAAATATTAAAGCACGAGCTAAACCTCCCCCAACAGCTGCAGATTGACCAAAAAGCTGTTTCCCAATAGCTTTCTGCACCTTATCCTATCTGCCTGGGCACCTCCGGCAGGAAAAACTGGTGTGTTTATAAAGACAAGGGATTTACTGCCAAAATGCATCTCAATTTAAAGGAAAATCTACTTGACATTGGGCTAAGCATTAACCCCATGTCTAAAACAGTTAGAAAAGCCCCAAATCTTTAATTCCTTTGTGTAAGTCACAGGGGAACAAAAATGCACCGATTTGTTATTTCCCAGAAATATTGATCTGAAATGCAGTCAGTTCTCATTAGTTGCCCTGTATCGTGTTTTTAACTCACAGCCTTCTAGAAGGTTTTTAATTTAAACTGTCAGAAGAAGCAAAACATTCCTACAAGAGATCACCAAACCAACTGGAAAATAAGAAGTGAGAAAGCCTTTAAAAAAAAAAAAAAAACAAACAAAAACCAACCAACCCCAACAGCTGTTCCTGGTGTTACATGCAAGAACAACTGGCAAATAATTCAAAGTGCAAATCGAACTCAGCAGCCTGTTCTTCACAACATAAAGTGTGATTGAAAAGAGAATGTGAGAAGTGATCCAACGAGAATAGCACACTGCTAAAATTTAGGAATTATCCAGAGCC